GTAGGTTAATCTGTTTTATTGTTGCTAAACTCCAAACTCAACAGCCAAGTGCATATGTGGTAATAACTAGTGATTTTAATCACTCCTATCTCTCTGCTATACTGCCAATGTTCCAACAGTTTGTCAGCTGGTGTACCAGAGAAACAAAACTTTGGACTTGTTTTATGCAAATATCAAGGCCTCATTTATCTACAAAGTAAGATGTCCTCTTGGGAAATCAAATCACAATCTTGTTTTTCATTGCTCAAATTATAAGTCCCTTTATAAGAGACAACCTGCAATAAAATTACTCAGAGAAGTAGGTCACAGGAGGCTGAAGAAGCCCTGCAAGGATATTTTGAGGCTACAGACTGGGATGCACTGTGTCAGCCACATGGAGAGAACATCAATGCAATGACTGAGTGTGTGACTGACTTCATAAACTTCTGTGTAGATAACACCAACCCTACCAGAACAGTGAAATGCTTCCAAATAATAAATCATGGATCAAAAGCAATTTGAGGGAACTGCTCAACAAGAAAAAAGAAAACAAGCAGAGATGTGTCGTAAAGGATAAAGAAGGTCACAGGCTTCAAGAAGAAGGATTACCAGACAGATGGAAGTCTGGGCTGAGCAAATGGACTGAATCCATTTTTCAACAGGTTCAGCATCCTCTCTGGAGGGACTGAATCGTAATAAGTCACCAGTGCAGATGGAGTTAGCCCGAGTGTCCTGAAGGCCAGTGCAGAGCAGCTCTGTGGGATTCTACAGCAGCTCTGTGGAATTCTACAGCACCTCTTGAACCTAAGCGTGACCCAAGAAACAGTTCCAGTGATGTGGAAGACCTCCTGCCTTGTTCCAGTACCAAAGACTCAGCCAACAGTCCTCAGTGACTATAGACCTGTTGCCCTGACATCCCCCTGCATCAAAGTCATAGAGAAACTTGTGTTGGTTAACCTCAGCAAACAAACAAGCAGCTATCTGGACCCCCACTCCGTCCTGGATTCTCCTTCAGCACCTCACCTGATCTCTCACATCCTTTCTCTGACAACCCACCGTGTCACCAAAATTGCCTTTGGCTCCAGCCTCTAGGTCATCCTGCCTTCATCCATCTACCAGGTTCTGATCTCCTGCTTGTCCTCAGAACTCTGATACATTAGTGCCTGGAACTCTCTGTGCGGCGATTGCTGTGCCACGGTGGCAGTCTCAAACTGAAGTTTAAGATCAGGTTAGTGACTGACTCACTTGTTCATGATTTTCCACCTCCAGAAAGACATGGTTACTAATCTACTGTCTCCACCCGCAGAGGTTCCTGCCTTAGACGCTGACCCACCCAGTTCTGCTTTCAATAAATGTTCTGAGTAATCTGTTTGTCCGCCTTGAATACTGGATCCTTTAGATCTGAGCCTTGACAAGTAAACCAATTCTATGTTTACACATACTCCAGCAGGCCAGTCAACATGTGGGGGATGGTAGGTGTAAAATGGAATTAATTAACTAGTCCTGTTGTAAGGCCCTTTAATGAAAAACACTGGAGATCCCCTTCAATATTATTCTTTCTAAGCATTGAGGCCATCAAACCCAACCAAAGAGGAGGCAGTATTAAAGAGATGTTCTGCATGGCCTCTGACCCATTGTCACTGTTTGTCTGGATTAGCATTGTTGCTCTCACCAGTGCAACAGAAATAAGGAAAGTAAACAATGGAGAGCAATATGTAAGGAAACCAAGGCACAGCAAGTCTGCTGTGTTGTTTCCCTCTTTTATTTGTCTGAATCCCTATTACCAGTGCTGCTTCATGTTTATCAAATTTAAGCAGACTTGTCCTATTACATCAGACGCATTTGTCACCGTGTATAGATGTCAATACGTTGCTCTCAATCGTATCATGTAAATTAGTGGGACCACTCACGTCTGATGTCCCAGCTGTATGCCGCTCTAAGGTGATTTTAACCCGGGTTGCTTGCCAAGTAATTTCATGGATCACGGATCTGTTCCCACTACCACTAAAAGCCAATTACTCCTGGGTAGAAACAAGTTTTTCGGCCTGTGGGAAAGGGGTATATCATTACACACACAGAGATGACTGACAACAAAAGGTCCTCCAATTAAAAACCGAAGGAAATCAGTTACTTCATGTCTTTTACCTGTATTTTAAATGATCTACAGTAAACATTGATCTAACATAATATATACTATTCTATTCATGTATACTTTATTTGAGACACATATTGCACATTAAAAATGAAAACAATAGTCTTTCATCTTTAAAGCATCTTTAAATACGTTACAGTAATATGTATATGTATAATTTAATTAATTCTCTATTTAATGTGACCAGCAAATAGAAGCATTGCAAGCACCTCACTGCTCAAAGACTGATCTAAATGGCATGTTCTAAACAACAGAAAATTTAAATGAGAGCAAAATCTCTTATAAATATAATATTTCACTTTTTTGTTTGGTTACTGCATGTTATAACATAATACTTTTAAATCTAACAATATAAAATATTAAAGAGAGATTCAGAAGTCCCAAAAAGAAGCTACTTCAAATTATACAACAAAATATACACACCAACACACAAAAAAAAATGCCTGATATTGCATTTAAAGGCATGCTTAGTCTCATAAAAAACAAAAGCACATGAAATATTGATGGTTTTCAAAGTTGAAGAAGGTGAATATTTGGTTCAAATTATCTTGGGGTAACCATCAAAAGGACACAGCACGCAGCTTACGCAGCAACATCATCCAGTGGTGATTCCGAACTGATTTCAGAATATAAAGCATCTGCTGCTGCAGGGCTCCTCCTTTCTAGTAGAGAAAAAATGATATGTGTTAAACTTTAAGCAGCATTTGTAATCATTTATTCTATTAGTGTAAGAATATTATGTTGAATTATGTCAGATTGTTACATATAGTAGAAATGGCAAATCAGTATTAAAAACACTTTGAACAACTGTTATTGCTTCTGCTCTTTCAGCTGCTCCTATAATCAGGGGTGAAACAATGGCGTAAATATCGTTAAGCAGAGACAGTAGTTGCCTTACAGGCCCATGACCTCTTAGGGGCCTCATCACTGACACCTGGTAGGCCCCCTATGCAATTGTAGACCAGAGCGTCTATTTGCAGATGCAGATGTAATGGTGCAAAAAATTCCTCTTCAACCCACCTGATACTGAAGTGACTGACCGCACCGGAACACAACACAAGCCACATTTCAAGATGATGGTGAGCCATTTAAACGCCACACCAATAGCAAAGCAGACAGTGGTACTTTTAATTACTATGTTAATAACTGTGTATAGTTCATTACACGGTTGGTAAAAAATACACAAGTTTAATATGTTTCAAACTGCAATAAAGATCTTAAAAGAGCAATGTATTTGAGTAATTTATTTTTTACACCACGGCTTGGAATTATGGGTAATGTAGATTAAAACCATAACAGTTACATACAATGGGTTAGCGATGATGGATACTAAAAAGAGGTACTTAAGTGGATTCCAGAGAAGAAAAAGGAAAGAAGAGCTGCTGGAAAAAAAAGGGAAAAACTTCCCCCCCAAAAAAACGAGGAGAGGTGGACGTTGCTGCCGCTACAGTGAGTTAAGATTGCGATCAGGAGATGAATGGAGAGAGCGTGGGTTAGGAGGGGAGCTGTAAAGCTCAAGTTAGCCCCATGGCTTGTTGTGATAATAAATTAAAGTATATCCATGTCAGGTGAAGGTGAAGAAGGACGAAGTGTGTATGTATGGGGCACGTTTCGGGCGGTGTTGATAAGCATCTCCCTGAATTTAATTTTTTGTACTTAGGATGTCTGTAACATTTGGTGGTGCGCTGTCACCACTGATTCCACTCAAGGGGCACAGTCACTATTTTTGAGTGTATGATGTGTAATCATGTTTTACTGACAATTGCATTATTGTATCTTCTCGGCCAATTTATGGAACCGTCGCCATATCGTGAACCTTTATCATGTGTTGTACTTCATATGGGGCCCCCCCAGATAATGTTGCTTACGGGCCTATTGTTGTTTCGTTAATCACTTGCTTAGAGCTTTTTACACTGGATCCTCTTGCCATCACCTAGGTTCCCCACATTCCAATTAAAGACATAAACCACATCACCATGAGGACAATTAAGAAAAAAATTATAATGAAGAAATAAATATAAGTGTCACCTTTATCTACCTCATTTTTACTTTTATTTCTTTGCCTGTTTCAGTTTTAAATAATAATTTCAACTAGGCAAGGGCCTGGCAAAGGATTGTTATGGTATGATAAGCTTGAGTAAAAACTTATTTAAACTGTTTTACACTTTTGGGCCTTTAAATGGTTTGTTTTTATAAAAACAGAGCAAATCTGATTGCATGCACAAAGCTGATCGGTAAAATGCAAACTGATTTGCTTTTGTGACATGAACATAATATCAGGCTCAGTCCATTTATGTTTATTTCTCTATTAAATATGCAAAATATAATGCTGACAGAAATTGACAGAAATTCACATATTTGGTGGAAGAAGGAAATGCATCTGTAATCCTTACTACATGCAAACAGATTAATCAAATGCTGCAGAAGATTCTCAGTCATACAGGTCATAGTCATTCCAATAAAGTTAAAAAAAACAATCCACTTGACTTTGTTTCCAAGTTTGAAGACGTATCCCTTCCCATCCAGGAAGCTTTTTTAATTTAAAATGTCAGAAATAGCGTTGAGTTCGAGGCTTTATAGAGTGGACCAAAAACAAATCCTGGTTTTGGCTTAGAAAACATGCAAATTCAACTGGACGAACAGGTCTGCCGCTTAGGAATGGGCAGTCGTTTGGGTTCTTAATTAGCCTGCAATACCCTCTACCTCTCTATGTCGCTGAATAGGGGGGTCGTTAGGGAAAAATTGTTGGGGGTGGGGGTTGCAATAATAGCGAGAAGGAATCAATATCATCGCAACCCCCATACAGGGGATAAGAATGTATCGCCTGTTCAGCCAGACCAACAATTCCCCCAACGATCCCCTTTTCAGAGAAGTGAAACGTCTTCAAACTTGGAAATAAAGTCCAGTGGATTGTTCTTTAACTTTTTTTGGAAAAGATTAATCAAACCTTTAACCAATGGTGGGTAGTGTTGTATCTATATTCATCACATTTAATAGTTAGTTCAAACTTGCAAGCAAAAATCTCTGAGGTATTTTGGCAAATTGGTACAATGCCCGATAATTGAAAGACTGGGGTAAATTCAAAACAGAAACACATCTCAGCAAACATTCGCATTGCTCGTAACTAGTTTTAAAGAGATTTCTGGATTTAGTATGCTGGCAGACACACTCAATCTTAATCCAATTATGCTTTTGTTTTTTTCTATATGAGAAAAAAAATTTGTAAAACCAAAAATATTCCCTTACAGTGTATGTGTTTTGGATTACAATCTACATCAACAGAGACAATAAGAGGCCTTTTGTTAAAACAGACCAAAAGGCATAGATTTTATACACAAACCACTTTGTGTCTGAACAATCAGCTTATGATGGTTTATGACAAAAGATGTTATCCTACGATTGTAACATTGTGTTGACCTTTAAAGAACTGACATGGTAATGAAATGAGAAAGCATTTCACTACAATGACTGACTGTACCTGTTGCTTCTGTTTTCACTTGAGAGTAAACAGTACAGTCCTCTGGGTTATGAGGCCTACCTGTAAAGATCATACAAAATTAGCAAAATAAAAACATAAATGTTGAGAACAAATAGCTATTTTCTCAGCTTGCTCATTGAATGTGTTTGAAACTTACTCTTTTTGTCATTGTTTTTCAATTCAACGAGACAATATGTAACATCTGTGGAATCATCTGCAGCTGAAATATTTGAGGATTTTAGATCAGTTACTGATGATCAGACTTATTCAATCAATCAAATATTGCATTGCTAGATACTTAGAAAAATATATGCCTCACCATGTCCAGTGTAATCAGGGGATTTGGCTGAGTCAGAGGGACCAGAATTACCTGGTGCTACAGGAAAGGAGGGGAAAAGTAAAAGAAAATTAATGAACTTCATTGCTAATTTAGAAAAAAAGATCTGAGAGCAAAAATTGAATTTATTAGATTCTTTCCTCATTCGAAACAGATAATTTAAACACAAATGTATAAATGTTTGCTTATATGTCTTCAGCAGGTTACATTGAAACTAGATAAACTAGGTTAACTCTGGTCTGATGTTTGACCAGAACTTTTCTTTTAAGAAACAGAGTACAATGTATTGATTTGTTATAAATAATAATAATAATAATAATAAAACAATCTAACAAAACAACAAAGCCCTGTCTGTATTCATGCTTTTTAGTGCAAGTTGAGTCAATAATTTGGGTTTAAGGTTTGATTGTGGCCCTCTAACTATTTCAATGTGAAACATTGCAAATGCAATAAAAGTAATGACAGGTTGAATATTAAGAGTTTAACAGACATTGAATTATATCAGGCTAACCTGATAGATTATAAATTTCTCTCAGGAAAAAAAAAAACATATTCACACCATTGTTTTGTTTCTTGATTAATCTAAAAACAGCACCAATGTATGTTATTAACTCAGTTGTTTAGGTTGAATCAATGTAAATACCAGATTTAGTCTAATAGAGACATTTTTAACTGTACTCCTTGGCAGAGTGGCGACATAAAACAAAATCAGAAACATCATGATTATTGTCATAGATTAAGTCAGTATCTTTATTTGGGACTGAGAGCTAGGCCAAACAACCACATCTATAATAATACAATAGACTTATTATAGCTGATAGACTACCTATACCCAGTCCACCCATGTTTCTCAGTCTTGCACCAGATTGCACCGATCTCTTTCTAAGTTTAAACTGATCACCAATACAATTTTTTTCCAACTGTTGAGATAAAACATTGCTGAAATGATCCGTCTGAATAAAGACTGAACACTAAATGACTGTCACGCACCAACCACCCTTTTGTGACTGGGATAAGCAGGTCCCCTGAATGCAGTGCTGCTGCTGCTCCTGCTGAAAAGATACAACCAGCTCAGATTGCGCAACTGCGAACAGACCAAACCCCCAGATGTCACAACTGTGAGACAAATCAAATGAAGGAAAAGCTGTGATGCCAGCAAGACAATCCAACTGTCATAAACCTTTAAAAACGATGAGCTGGACCCAATGGACCCGATCAGCTCCTTTCCTAAGAGACAAGTTCCACGTGAATCTTTCTGAAAGCTAGCTGGCCATAGCTTCTGCCTTTATCCTGCCGTCAGTGCTAATGATCAGTGTATTGTCGCACCTACTAGTTTCACTGCTGGTGAGAAAGCAGAAGCCTCCACCTTATAAGCAGCTGTTCTACGCCATTGCACAGAATCTCTCCTTTGAGGAGGCAGCATCACAGCGTGTTATTGTGTAATGTGTACGGACGCCTCCATAGTGGGTTGTAAGTTAACTTCATTGATTTAAGCCCATCAAATTTCCTTTTTGTTTGCATTAGACTAATCTAAATCTCTCCAAGAGCCCACACAGTTTTGGACTGAACTGAGCCAATATTTGAAGCTACCCACCCCACCCCCCCCTTTCCTCAGCCAGGACCTACAAGTAAACTCACAGTAAAACCTTCCCAT